CCAGATTCTAAAAGAAAAAAATTGCCGGCCTAGGATAACATACCCAGCAAAGCTTTCTTTCATCTTTGAAAATGAAATAAAATTCTTCCAGAGTAAAGAAAAGCTAAAAGAATTTGCCTCTTCCAAACCTGCTCTACAAATGATACTTCAAGATGTTCTCTTGACAGAGAAGAGGAATAGCACCTACCAAAACCAAAGGCAAACAGGAAGAACATCCCAGTAGAATGACAACAGAAGACTAAACCAATGAACAACCCATTGCTAAAATGACAGGACCAAAGTACCACCTATGTATATTTAACTCTGAATGTAAATTGCTTAAGCTCAATCAAACATCATAGATTAGTAGACTGGATTAAAAAACAAAACCCATCTGTTTATTGTCAGGAGGAGACACACTCCAACAAAGATTAGCAGAGACTCTATCACATGGGTTTTGTTGTTTTCTGTTAGTTTCATCTCTTCAAAACACTTTCTTCTGATTGGATCATTCAATGACTCGTAGATCATACAGTGGCATCATTTTCTTCAAGAAGGTTCTTGATTTTCACTTCTTCAGCTACACGTTGGACATTTAATAGCATGTTGTTAACTTCTTGGTGTTGTTAATTTCCTTTTTCTCTCTGATGTTGATTTTGTTTTGTGGCTCTTCATTTAAGGGAAGGTAAAGTAGTTGTGTAATGGAGACTGTCATATCTAGTAACATGCCATTTAACTTCATGGCATTGTGAATTTCTATTTTTCTTTCTATTGTTGATTTTGTATCATGACTTTTCATTTAAGGGAATGTACAGTAGTTATGTAATGGAGACTAACAACCAGGTGTGAGGATGCAGTGTGGTATGCATTTCTATTTCCAGACAAAGATGGACTTACAATGAAACTGTTTATATTATATTTTAACAATAGGATTCTGGACTCTCTGCCATTGTCCATGCCCGCGATGATGAACATATGACTGAGTATGAAGAACTATGTGTTAGTCATGATATGGAGGAACTGGGGGAGGGGGAAGGGAATTAGGGAGGGGATAAGGGAATATGGAACTGTATCATAAAATGATTGCAATAACAATAAAATGTAAAAAAATAAATAAATAAAATAAGTAAATGCATAAATAAATAAATAAAGCTACTTAGAAAAAAAAGAATCTATGATATATGCCTGTATAAGCTCCTTTCATTTATAAGCTTCCTTTTTATTTAAAGATTAAAATTTTTTTTTTTACATTTTATTTTGGATTCCCCCAAACTTCCACCCCCGACAGATTTTCCCCATGTTGCTACAGTAGTATAATCCTTCATAAGGAGTCATAATTCAATCAGTCTCTTATTTAAAAGTGCCCTGATATTGCTGGTACAGTGTCAGACAGTCTGGCATCCCGTTGTCTATACATTTCCAACAGTTTCATTGGGAGCTTTCTTTTTAATTTTGTATTCTTGATATTTTAACTAGTATTAATTTAGGTTTAGTGAAAATTGATTTGGGATATAGTAAACGACCTGTCACTCTGTAAACTCATGTGCTGCTAACTGTGGAGTCCCTGGCTTCAGCCAGCTGACTGCAGGTTTGAATGAGTAATGGTTTGCTGAAGATGTTTTATTTGAAGTAAAATAAAATAATAATGCTTTTTAGAATTATTTTTGTAACCACTCTTTTAACCATGAAATAAAAATGAAACAACTGGATGTTGTGCACAAGCTTGTTATGATTTCTGCATAAATAAAGAAGGCAGCTTTTTTGAGTCGTCCATTATGAGCATCATGCCGTAGTGATCCATGTCTCTTCTTCTCTTCTTTCCCACTGATACATACACCCTTCACAAGCTCTGAATTTAGCAGGAGCGGTTTTCCCACAAGAAGCGCCCAGACGTGGGGCTTGATGAAGCTAGATTTACTTTCTTTCCCTTTTACTGTGTGACATGAATCCGACTTCACTCAAGGGCATTGCAAGCCCCCTGATAGGTCGAGATCAGGCAGGGGTGGATAATCAGAACATTTTTTGAGAAGTATTGTACCCTCTGTTAGCCACAAAATGGGACAGAGTGCATCCAGTGAGAGAATCTTATGTAATGATATTATTAAACATACTTTGCAGGTGGGGAAATCAGACATGGAAATATACCAGGCCTGGTAAACACACATGCATTAATTGAAGTAATTTACATTTTTAAGTAAAATTTTATCTTGGGAAGCCTGGCAGAGATTGTGTGTCCCAGAGACAGGCTATGGCTTGCTCAAGGGAATAGAGCAGCTCAAGGTCACAACTGATCCTGGAACCAGGAACTCCAGATTCCACCAGTGCCCTTCCTACTGCATCCTACTCCTGTCTTTACTTATTAAGATTCACTTATTTATGTATTAAAAAGGAAGGATTGCAGAGAGAGGGAAAGAACAGGAAAAAATCACATCCCCCTTTCCCCGACCACACACGCACGCTTCAGGGGAATATCAGGAACCATATCATGTGTACAAGGAAGAAACAAACACTAGACTCTTTGGTCAAGAGCCTGAAGCTGCTCAGCTTTTCAAATTCACCTAACTATGGAGTTTATTGGTGTGGGTATGGGAGTCTTATAATGGAAGCAGATACCACAGAGAAGGGTGTCCATGTCCTACATAATGGAAGCCTTGGGTATGAATAGAGATTAAGAGCATGAAGCACTGAGTTAAATCACTGTGCCCTTTCCTGAACCTTGGGGTCATCCTTTCTGTCACTTCAAGTTCTCAGGAGAGTCTGTTCCCACAATGAGATCTTGCCACTGCAACAACACAGCGGTACCTGGAGGACACTGTGTGACATGGAACAAGGCAGAAACACACAGACAAATACTGCACATTTGCTCCCAACAGGCGGAAGCTAATACAGTTTACAGAAATAGAATATTTAGTCAGAAGATGCTGGGAAAAGTTGTAATCCAGATGTAAGACATGGATGTATTTCTCTCCTTATACAAAATATGTTAAAAATTCATTTATTTGTAAATGCATTTACAAAGCAGAGTGACAGAGAGACAGAAATAACACACACATTTGTGCTCACACACACACACACGTATCTTTTATCAACTGTTTTATTCCCCAAATGGCCAAAACAGCCAGAAATGGGGCAAGCAGAAACCACGTGTCTGGAACTCCACCCTTGCCTCTCTCACAGGTGGTAGGATACCACAAATCTGCAAATTATCTACTACATTTCTAGGCCAATTAAAAAGGTGCTGCTTTGGAAGCTGAGTAGCTGGGACTCAAAGTGGAAGTAGAATCAGGAGGCACTGTAGCAGTAGCACTTTGGACGGTCAAAGGAAGGGGACAATGGAGCACATGAATACTTAGAGAGATTGGTATTTGTCCTCGCTAGGGCCATGGCTTCATTCTGTGGAGTTCAGGGAGGAAATGAATTCAGAGGCTCAACTGTGTCTATTTTTCTTCTGCCTGTGGGAGATTTCCCCAGGATCTCTGCCTGCTTTGCCTATGTGGGAGGTCACAGACACATGGCACACCTTGTTCCCAAGGAAACCCTGACAGTAGTCTAGGCTAACTGAAACTTCAGCCTGACCTGTTCACTGGGCATGCAGTGAGAGTGGTGGGCTGCACTCTGGTCTCTCTTCTCTGTCCTTGGATAAGCTGTGCTTGGACTTCCCTGATAAGCAACTCTAAGAAGTCAAATGTGACCCACAACCTATTTGCCAGCCACTTATGATGAATAGCTTTCAGTCTATGTGCTAACTGTTGTGCTCACGTGAGTCACAGTGTACCTGCCTGTGATCTGAGGCACAGCTTCTAACTGTGAGTAAGGAAAGTGACCCATAACTTGGTTAGAGGGTACAGAGTTAGGCCTGCCTACTAGCAAGTTACAATATCATTATTGAGTGGGAGAACTATCCCAGGACTGTCCTTCTGCATTCCCCTTTTTCTATTCTATATAAATCTGTATTTGCTTTCAATAAATGGATTTGTTCAATCAAACTGTCTCCAGTAGTTCTGCAGCCAAAGAACACTGTTGCCTAATCCCCTCCATAGTCTGGGGGCCCACTGGCAGGAATTAATCCCAAGAACGTGTTTGTTCTGTCTACATGACAGATACCATTCTGATCCTTAATCCCATTCTGGGCCCTGACTTATGTGCATTTGTGTGTGTGTGTGTTTCCTCATCTTGAACCCAAGACTCTCATTGGGTTGTCCCGATCATCAGTGCACTCCCAGCCATAAGTCGGCCATGGGCAAGGAGCCAACAGTGCTTCCTGAATGCCTCTGACACATGCAATTCTCTATAAATAACTAACCACTTCAGAGCAGAATTGATGTATCCCTTCCTCAGAACCCTCCTCTGAAATAAGGAATGAATGATATTGAGTAAATGAATGACCATAGCCCTCTTCTTCCTGCAAGTCAGTGGAGGCAGAAACTCCTGGTCCTTCCACTCTACCACCAGCCTCCAGAGAGAGGGCAGGCTCAGCTTCTCTGCAGGTGTCACTGTGTGTTGTGCCTGCATGGAAAAGCCATTGTTCTCCAAGAAACTCTATCCTGGGGGACATGCTTATCCAGTTGTCCTGGGACTGCCTCAGTCGTAGACTAAACCCATCATGATTTCTTTCCTGGCCCCAAGGCTTTCTTGTTCTGTTAGAGGCTGACTCTGGTCTGTCTCTGCAAATCTTCTCCTAAAATCTTCAGAACAGGCCAGAGGGGAAGAGGTAATGAATTAGAAAGACTCAACTAGGATCTTGCTGAGTGATCTTTATTTGTTATAGAGGTTGTGGAATCAGCATGGACAACTGAACTTGATCCCAGTGATCTGGAAAAGAAAGGGAAGAAGAGAACTAGAGTTAGCATCAAAGGTTCTACAGTAAAAGAGAACTAGGGTCAGCTCTGAGCCTGACCACTCATTCCCTGTGTGATCTGGAAGAGTGACTTCTCTAAGTCTCAGTTTCACTCTCTAAAGGCGGCAGTGATCGTAGTACTTACCCATAGGGGCTCATGATCATAACATAACTAAGGCTACCATCACAGTGCCTGGTGCACATTTAATGATATATCAATGAGCTCACTGCTGTTATCATAGACAACATTAACCCTCTGCAAACAATTGTCCAATGTCTGAGATATCAGCTTTCCCATGATATTTCTCACCATACCTCACCATTACTGCTCATTTCACACCTCTCCCCTATCCTTCAACCCAGGAAGCCGTGTGTCCTTCTGTCTCCTGTGACAAATAAGAACCTGAACAGAGGACACACTGAGAAACTCTCGCTGAATAAGGAAGTGCAAAGCTTCACCCAAAGCCTGTGCAGTTCTGTTGCCACACAAAGAACACACTTCTCAGCCCCTCTGGAATGTCCCCACAGCCTATCACCCACTGCAGCCCCTCACCAGGATCTGCCCTCCTCTCCTGTTCCCCAGCCCATCTCTGGAGAGCTTCCGCCTCCTTGGAGCCCTCTCAGTTGCCTTATCCTCACCTCCTCAATCCAATCAATGAAGCAACCCACAAAAGTAAACACCGTGGGCTTCTTCTCAGTGTTGCAGCCATAACCAGAAACAAAGCTGGCCACACCACAGACCTTCCAGCATCCATCCTTTGTGAGGCAGTTGAGAGGTCCTCCAGAGTCACCCTGTGAAGGTCAGAGGGGTGGGGACTGAGCTGAGTCTCAGCTGGAAGGAATTGTCCCTGACCTGGGGGTTGCGGACACACCCACACTGCTGCACCTCTCCCAGCCTCAGGGCCTCAGCTGGCCAGGATCAGGGTCTGTGCTACCACAGCTGCTGAGCAGGAAGGGACCCACACAGGACCTCAGCACAGCCCCTGGCACAGAGAGCCCCGAGAGACGCCAGCGCCCCCTGCTGGCAGCACCTTCCCTGCTGCCTAGGAGGACTCAGCTCCCACAGCACAGTGTTAAGGATCCCTGCAGAGCCCAGAGTGGGTGACTCCAGGTGGTGGTGCGAGTGTCCCTGCTGTGCTGCTGGGGCAGGCTGAGCAGGAGGAGGGACAGTGATGGTCCCAGGTTCAGGGAGGGCCTGTGGGCTGGGACAGGATTCAAGGTGTGTGGGCTGAGCTGACTTCCTCCAAGTGTTGCCTACATTGGAGACTCCCTTGGCAGTGGCTAAAACTTCCTACACATTTATGGACATACTACAGGGACCAGGATATTGCCCCACAACGACAAATGTGAGCCAACTTACATTACAGCCAGAGACTTCATATCCACCAGCACATATATGGCACTTATTTACAGTGGAGCCCCACCAGTCCCACTGGGAGCAGTGTTCGTAGTCCACCACAGGCAGCAGCCCCTCCCGTAGAACATCTGAGACTGAACCACCAGCTTTGGGGACAGAGAGCAGTTAGTCGGGATCAGGGATAGGGATAGAGATGTGGCATTTCAGGTCTAGAGCTCCTCAGATCCAATGGGGACTCTCCTCCCAACAGCCCCACCATCCTGCATGCTTTGTGCACCACTGCATTATTGGCCTTGGCCCCCAGGTCCAGTCTTTTTGCCACTCTCCCTGGCCAGTACGTACTGGAGGTGGTGCCCCAGCCAGTGATGTAGCATTTCGTGCCATGGAGTGGGGTATAGCCAGCAGGAGGGAGACAGGCAAGTTGCACTTCAGGTGTCAGCTTAGCGCTATATGACAGCTTAAGGAGGGCGATGTCATAGCTATAGGAAGGAAAGAATCAAATTCAATACATTCTTCTGACTGAAATAGATCTATGCTAGGCCTTGGCTCCAGATGATCACCTCTTGGGGCCCTCTAATGCTCCTTGGTCCCTAAATCCACTCTTAAGCAGAACATACTTGAGAGTTCCCTGGCCCCTTCAGCACCCAATAACCCTGGGTCTCATAAATGCCCAGGTTTCCACGAACAGTGCTCGCACTCCAGCTGCATCAGAACAACCTGGAGGGCTGAGAAACCCAGGGCAGTGTTAGACATAAAACACAGAGTTTAAGACACTGTAACACACATCACAGTTCTTATGATCAAATTCCAGCTACTCTTCCCATTTTAGGTTCTTGCTCATGTGCAGAATGGGATAGAAGTTGATGATTCAAGAGGTTAGATCTCAGCAACCCACACGTGAAAACTGGATAGAATTATAAAATCCTGTATTTTGTTATCCCAGCTCTAGAGTGCTGTAGGCATTTGGTGGAGGAACCAATATATGATCTCTCTCTCTCCTCTCTGCCTCTCTATCATTCTCACTCTTCCTTTCTCTCTCCCTATCCTTAATTCTCTCCTTCTCCCCCTGATTTCTTGAAGTCACACATAAGCCTCTCCCTGGCTTTCTGAAGATGCAGTTACTGCTGTCACTTGAGATACTTCCTGTGGTTTCATTGGTTTGCCTACTTCCAAAAAGCTCTGTGAAGATGGGACAGGACCTCCATAACAATGGTCCCACACTCCTGCATTGCACTTGTTGTGATTCTCTCACCACAAAAAGTTGAGCCTCTGGACACACAGGTGTTCACAGGTGAAGATTGAGGAGGAACTTCCTGCCCATCAGTACCACCAGGAAACCCTGCTGCTGGGTCAGTGACCTTGACAAGTAGAAACATGAAGCCCAAAGTAGGGCACTGATTGCCTAAGCTGTTCAGGGAGGGACACCCACAGCCTGACTCTCAGTCCAGTGCGCCTCCTCTGCCCACACAGCCAGGAACCCAGGCTGTGCTGGAGAGATGTCTGCTGAGCACAGGACAGCTTGGACTTGGGGAAGGGGCTAAGGGTCCTGGGCTCCAGGGATACTGAGCCCAGTAGCCCTGAGGGACTTCCTGCTTTTCCTTGGGCCTGGGGTCCCCTGTGCAGGGAGGGAGGTTGGTGCTGTTGGTCTCCAAGGCTGTGCCCAGTGTGTGGGAACTGAGTCCAGGCTGCACACACTCCGCACATTCCTTCAGAGTGTCCTGGATGAGCTGTGGCTCATGAAGGAAAGAATACAGGAGCCTGGTCTCAGGCTGGGAGTTCACTCACCCTTTGGCTGCATTATTTTTGTCATATCCTGGGTGCACATAGACAGCTCCCACAGGGATGACCTGGTCAGATGACTCTGGTTCACGCAGGTTGTACCTGCCCAGCAGCACCCAATATGATCCGCCGTCTCTGAAAGAGAAAGGGAGGTCAGCCTGGGCCTATCAGTGAATTTGTCATATTCACCTGCTGACCCAGGCTGCCTGGGTCTAGCAAGGAAAAAGATCAGGGCAGGAATAGGGACAGTAGAACTCACACGACACAGTGTGCTGCAGTCAGAACCCAGTTACGGTCGATGAGGCTCCCTCCACAGATGAAGTACAGGCCCCCATTCTGTTCAAGCAGTAAGGTGATCTGGCAAGCCCCAAGGGGGAAAAAATAACATGGACTAAGATATCTGTATATGCAGTGAGGGCTTGTGTGTGGGTTGTGCACTGAGAATCCTGAGAGAGAGTCAGTCACAACAGAGGGCACTAGATCCTGCTATGACACTCAGCACATTACCTATATACATGCTCAGCTGGATCTAGCCTGTTTCCTCTGGCTCACTGCAAATCTTGTCTTCACATTCCAGGCCCTGTGATCTCCCCAATGACTCCCACATTCCCTGCCCTCTAGAGCACCTCAAAACCTTCTGTCCCCTGAGAATCTCCAAGATCTTCTGCTCTCTTGGGCCCCTTATTCCTGCACCTCAGCTCCTCCAGTTCTCTTGGATCTTCTGAAGCATGACTCCTCATGACTCCTTTACCTCCTTCTCATTTCCTACTCATTCAGATTCCCAAATTTCCCTAGAGACCGAAGTTGGCTAAGTGTGGCCCCCTGACTCCAGCCTGGCTGTGGTCTTTGTGTACACAGATGCTGACTGCACACAGGCTGCTCACTCAGGCACACATGCTCTCTGGCTGCTTTCCTGCTGCAATGGCAGGGCTAAGTCACTGCTGGAGAAACCATGTGGCGGGGCCACAGCACTCACTCTCTGCTCCCTCCCAGAATATAATTGCTGACCTTGCTCCAGAGAATGTTGGGCTATGGAGATGTTCTCTGTCTCTGTTATCCACATGTGGCTCTAGGACACTTGAAATGTGGCTGTCACAGAAGAACTAAATGTTGGGCATGACTGGGTTTATTTATTTCACATTTCAGTACTGCATGTGGCTAATGGCTACTGTGTTTCACAGCACAGCAAGCCTCGCCCTTGGTGCTGCCTAACACAGCCCTGATCCAACTCTTCACTGTCTTGCACCAGACCTCAGAGCCCTGCTGTGGGAATCAAGAATCTGGAGCTGAGTCCACACCTTTGCCTCGACACAGAGCCTGGATCCTGTCACTGACCAACCCCTGGATTTAAGTCTTTTCTGGCTCGAGGTTCCTCTTTTTATTCACAAACAGCCTAATGAAGGTTGTAAATGGAACAGGTAATACTGCCATGTGAATATTCCAAGATTCTAAATCCGGGAAGCTGAAGTGAGGACTGCAAAGGGAGTTGTGGGGTCAGATCTAGACGCCTTGTAATCTAAACTTGTGTCCAGTGCCCACAGTGGGAGTCAGTAAAGCTGGGTTTGCTCTTACCTGCCAGGGCCACTTGTGGGGAGGATCTACAGGCACACCATTGACCACACGGCTGGAAGGGTTGAAGTGGGTGGAGGGGATGTGGATTGGTGGGTGTGAGCCTGGTGGGTATGAACCTGAGGCTAGAGAGGAGATGAGAGGAGAATCATTAATCAGTCAGCCTCATAAACTCCAACAGGAAAGAGGACAGGGTTTCAGTAATCCTGGAGTGCCACAAATGGGCTTTGTGAGCCCAGGTAAACTTCTTCCCTTCTCTGACAATCAACACCTACCTATGAGCAGTGAGCACTGGGAGTAGAGCAGGAGTTTACAGAGTCCCAATGATGGAGATAAAAACACGACCTCACGATATGGAACCCAAGGAAGGGACATAAATGTCTGTCAGTCTCTCTCTGTCTATCTCTCTCTCCTCTCTCTCTCTCCTCTCCATTTGAAATAAAACACATAAGTAGGATTTTTGTTTGAAAGAGTGGAGGCATTGTGATAAAATTTCCTGGGTTCAAAGTACAGAGACCCTTGTTCCAGATGAGCTCCTTTACTTTTCTGACGTTCAATGTGTTTGTCGGTAAAATGTGAACAAAAACTGACCTTGTGTAGCAGAGAACAGATTACCTGAGATTGTATGAAAAAATAAATCTCTCATTATTCCACGTAGCACATGCTAAGCACTAAGCAAATGATATCTATTACCACGGTTGCCATTCAAGGGAGGCTGCTTGTAATGTAGCAGAGAAACAAGAACAAGGCTGAACCACAGGCAGTGATGACAGGTGGAGACAGTGTGAGTGTCCAACATTCAGCATTCAGCAGATGAGTGGAAATTGCACCCCATGCAATCTAAGCACAGAGCCACACTCTTTACCACTCAGCTTTGTTCACTGCCCCACCAATGACTCACTCCACAGCACTTTGTGCTACTCCAAGCCCATCTACTGAGCTAGTCCATCCCCTGCCTACCCCCACTCCCACTACTTCAGCTTCAAGATGAAATCCCTCACTGCTATTCCCAAGGTACATTTGAGACTTCTATGCAGTCAGATGTTGGGGATCATAGGACCTAGGTCAAGAGAATATCAGGGCTCCTGGCTTAGGGCAGTATAGGGAGATGGGACTCAGGCTTGGGGCTTACCCAGGGCCACAAGGAGAAGGGAGCTCAGCAGCCGGATCATTGTGGATCTGGAGAAGAAGGGAAGGAGAAACGGAACCTACCCTCTAATATAGGGCACAGAGAGGGAGAGGGGGCTGGACTGGGCCCCACTCCAGAACAGGTGGTGGAACACCAGATCTCCCAGGAACCAAGGTCACAGTCTCTATCCACTGCACATGGAGGAGTAACAGTCAATGGAAGTATCCAACTTTTCTTGCATCATGTGCCTGCACAGGTGGTACTGGGTAGCTAACCAATAACACAGAAACAGAATAGAAATTTGGCAACAGAATACACCACCTCCTTCAGGAAAGAACACAGGTGCTAGATCTCATCCCTGATTCACACCCTGCCTGGGCCTCTTCCTAGCTGTGAGATTGACCTCACAGCCTCACTTCTCTGAGTCTGTTTTCACATCTGTAAATGGGATTCATATTAATATTCAGCTCAATAAAGAGATCTTGTGAACACCTACTCGTATGTGGCCTAGGCAGTGTTCTTGGGGCTTTAATCAACACAATATGTGGTCTCCGCCCTTCAGAAGGTTGAGACTTGGTGGGAGAGACAAGGAGAAATCAACAAATAACTGCAAAGGCTGAATCCAAACACATAGTGTGAAGCACAGGAGATGAGAAGTAATGGGACTGTGTCACTTATAAGGAAGCTAGAGAAAATGCCATTTGACCTGAGTATTCAGGATTTGATTGAGTCCTAAAAGAAAAATAAAAGCCAGTTATAAAAGATGCATCTGTGTTTGCCATAGTAAAGACAGCACATGCAACAACCCCATTTCAAATGAAGTGCCTGTGTTTGAGACCCATCTCTGCTCCAGAATCCCACTTCCTGTAATGTGCACTTTAAAAGCCAGAAGATAATGATGGCTCAAGTACTTGATTCCTTATTACCCACCGATTCACTGAATTCTTGATTCTGACTTTTGGCCTGGCTCAATCCCATTCTGCTACAGGTATTTGGGAGGAATGAATCAGTCAGTGGAAGAGCTCCTTTTCTCTATACTTTTCAAGTAAAGTGAAAACAAAACTTTTTAAAAGATGTATTTGGGACCAGCACTGTTGCACAGTGGTTGAAGTCTAGGCCTGCAATGCTGCCATACAATAAACACTGGTTTGAGGCCCAGTTTTCAGTTTCTTAAACAGACACCTGTTAACACAGCTGGGAAGACAAGTGTTGATGGCCCAAATGCTGGGACCCTAGCACACACATGGGTAACCTGGATGCAGTTTCTTACTTGACCTCAGCCTCATTTAACCATGCCTGTTGTGGCCATCTTGGGAGTAAACCAGCAGATGGAAAATCTCTTTATTTCTCTGTCTGCTATTCTCTCTTTCTCTCTGCCACTCTGCCTTAAAATAAGTAATTTTTCTTTTGAAAAAATATTGGCTTTATTAAATCTAAAGGCAGAGAGACAGACATAGACAAATACTGCCAATATGAAGTGTCACTCCCCTACTACATATAGCAACGGAGGCTGAGCCAGGCTGAGACCTAAAGATTACAACTTAATCTTGATCTCCTGGGTGAACACAGTACTTAAACCATCACCTGCCACCCTTTACAATGTACTGTAACAGGAAGCTGGAATTGGAATGAACCTGGGACCCAAATGTAGACACTCTAATGGATTGCAGGTGTTTCAACAGAATTTTTTTTAAGATTTATTAAGCAGTGATAGGATGTCACTGCCTTGCCAACAGCACAGACCATCCTACAGGCACATCTGAAGGAGAACAAGCCTGAAACTTCCTGAAGAAAGTATCTGACACTTTAACTTTGTATTTGAAAGATCCTAAAGATAACAGAGACTGAAATTTCATGGGTGAATTGGTGGGAGAGGCTGTGCTTTCATTATTGGAGGCCAGATTCATTCCACAAATGCCTGCGATAGCTGCAGCTCAGCTGGGCCAACGACAAAACCAGAAACTTCTTTTCCATAGGGGATACAGATATCTGAGGACTTGGATCAGTTTCTGCAGCCTTCCCAGGCACATTCACAAGGAGCTACAGCAAAAGCAGAGAAGCTGGATCCTGATGAGGGTTGGTGTCTAAAGTAGCAGCCTAACTGGCTGCACCACAACCAGCCACTTCTGAAAGTTTTCTTGTCAAGGAGCGGCAAGTGAAATCTCAGCAGAAGAACTGCCTGGGAAAAGGAGCTGCAAAGGAAGATCAGGGATCTTGAGATCTATTGTAGAGATCAACCTGAAGCAAAGCAAACTGCTTTCTGGTTGGGAAGTGGATGTTCAGGTTGGGGAGGTGGGTATGGGTGTGGTTAGGAGTTTGGTCTGGCAGGAGAGTGATGGCTGGGTTTGAATGGGAGTTTTGAGAGCCAGGAGAATCTCCTTCTGCTTCAAGGGAGTTCTACAAGATGGGGGAGTACCTAGGAACCCCAAACTTTCTCTCATTCAACTTCAAACTTCCAGGGTCCGGAAAGGAGCCTGGCACAGAGCAGTGTCAACAGCATCATTTGTTCAAAGAAACAACAAATGAATGAATGAAGCTGAAAGACTCCTCACATGTCCTGTTGTTCCTCCCTCACTCTCTGGAGGTGCAGTTGCCTTGGCATTCACATAGAACACTTCGCAGGCCCCTGTGTGTCCCTAAAAGCTCAGCAGCAGTTCTGGTCGGGCTGGGGCCCTGGACAGCAGGGTTCTTTACCACAGGCTATCCTGTGACCAATGACCCCACTGGAAGAGAGTTCACTGAACAGGGGTTCTGCTCACTCTGTGTCCTGCTGGGGATTCAGCTCTCAGAATGTAACTTAGAAGCAGCCAAGAAAGAATCAAACACTGGAATGGTAAATATAAGGTCAACACAGATCAAATAGTTCTTGCCTGAAGCGTTTCTCAGAACCTTAAAACATGCCAGCATTCACTGAGAATCACATGTAGTGTTCTCCAGGCAAGGACTCAAAAGCCCCATACTCTTACAACCCAACCCTCCTATCACCAGCCCCTTCCCCTAGGGATTGCAACCCAGCCTTAGGGTGAGCAAGGAAATGCAAGACCTAGCAAGGGTCCTGAGTGTGTAAGAAATGGTCCCAGAAGGCACACGCTGCTGGAACACGTGCAGGTGACTCTTGCATTAGGAAGGTACCACCTCAGCTGATACCTGAATGGGTTCTCAGAGAATGGTTCTGAGAGGAGGGAATGGGTACAGTGTTTTCCCATAGCCTGACAAAGCTTCCTGAGGCTGAGCTGGACTGTGTGGGTGTATCCCTGCAGCTCACTGTGAAAGTCATGGGAAATGGTGGTGGGTGGCTCCGTTTCCCTGCGCTATTTCATGGGCCTGCTGATGCAGTCAACAAGTGTTTATTAAACACCTACATGATTTTAAGCTCACTCATGGTCCCCAGGATCCTTCAAGAAGACAAACAAGGGTTTCACAGTTGGGAGTTCAATTCTCAGAAGGAGACACAGCAGAAGAGCTTTGCATCTCCACCTGCCTGTCCTTTTTTGTTCCCCAATTCCTGCCCTGGGGCCCTCTTTGCTAAACGAAGAATGGCACTGAGGGGTTTCATTCTGAAAAAGGCAAGTGCTAGCCAGAGTTGGAAAGTGCATTCGGGACTCCTGTTCCTCTGCTGCCTCCTCACAACCTCGGGTGTGCACTGGGTGCCTTCTTCCGCAAAGTCCCTCACTGCTGCCAAGCACACTGCTCCCAGCTCAGCAACTGCTTTCTCTAGTCCCTGCATCCTTGAAAAGCTTCAGTTCTCCACTGATGGTGGACTCGGAGATCACCATTGCTTGTGAGTTTCTCCAGCAGCTATGTCTCCACTTTTATCAAATATTCCTTAGTATTCTTTCCAGAACATCTCTTCTCTCCCAAGCCTGGCTGATGACAACCTTGGCTGATGGTCACAAGAGCATTCATAGGGCATGCAGTGAGAGAGAAGTTTATTCCCATTCAGTATCACACCCAAGCAGGCCAGTGGCTCTGCTTGGAGACACCAACTCTTCTTTCCAAGCTTACTCGTATACAAGAAACTGTGTCCTCCGTAATTCCTGTGCTGAAGTTCTAATGTGTCAGACCATGATTTCATGTGGAGACAGGATCAAAATTGATGTAATGGGTCACACTGAGATAATTAAGGTGGACCTTGTGAACTCTGACAGGTGCCTTTTTGAAAAAAGGAAACTGGTATGCAGGAGAACAGTGTGGGGGACTGAAGCTGCCTACACAGGAGAGGGGAATGGAAAGGAATTTCCGGGTCCTGGAGAGGAAACACATTCTGACTCCCGGATCCTGCACTTATGGCTCTAGAACTGCTGCTCACAGGACTACCCTGTGAATCTGAGGCCTCGTGACAGCAGCACTAACAAAGGACTCAGCCCAGCATGGCTCCAGCACCACTCTACACTGCCAATACTTGAAGAAGGGACAAGCTTCTTCACTTAGCACAAACTACCTCCTCTACCCTGACCTCACCTGGCTTCTGGAGAGGCAGGGAGAGGTGACTTTTGATCTAGGCATAGGGAAAAAAATAAAAGAATACCATTTGGGGTTGCTCCATGTCTTTGTCACAAAACACAACATTTTCAGATGCAATGAAAAGAAGCCAGGCTAAGCCACACATTATGATGGTTTTAATCTTATAAGGCTTGAGTTAAATATGAGAGGCTGCATTGGCCCAAGACTCAGACCTCAGTGCCTGTTCTTCCCGTGTTCTGCCCTGTACAGCCTCCAGGATTCCTTCCCAGACTGAAGCAGTTAGAATCATACTGGGTCCTTGAAAGAGAATTGATTGGAATCCAGCTATCTGGTTCCAAGATGAGTGAAATGATGAGAAACCCCCAGGGTCAAGGACAGAGGGGACAGTGAGAGACAGTGAGGCCTTACGCCAGCTGCCCTAGTCCAGGTTCTGCTGCCTGGTGAAACCGGGCCAGCTGAGGACTGACAGGTGGGATCCAAGGAGGTGGTGTAAGCTGAGACCTGTGCTTATGATCCCTCTATTCTCCCATCTCCCCTGTCTCCAAGAAACACACCTACCCTTCCAGGTGAGTGAAAATC